ACGTAGTAAAAAAACCGCATCAAGATCCGTTGAGTAGTTAAAAGTCGTTTAAAGATCTAAGCTTACATAGGGACAGACAGACAGCGGGACGACTTTGTTTTATACTATGTAGTGATATAGGTCAGGTGGCATTCCTATCTATATAGGTAGGAATACAACCTGTCGTCATACCGTCCACAAGTAGGCCCCTTTTTGCCAAAACCACAAAGCCATTTAAACACCCAGCACCGTGAACTCGGCGGGTGAAACTGAACTTGTCTGACGGCATCCATCGGGTTCTGCCGGCGCAGAACAAAGGTTCCACCTCGGTCATACACCGCGGTCGCTTTATGAGCGGGCGACATGATAAAAACCCTTTTTGGTGCGTTAATGCCGTGACAAATGCCGAATTTATGCCGCTGGCAGCGCTCCCCGCTGCGCCGAAGGACTGGCCGTGTGTCACTCCTTCCAGGTTCAACCTTAGCGAGGCGCGTTGGTACTATTAGTCTTATAGTCACTTACCTGGTGAGCCTGCACGATTGCCGCACTTTTCCATAAAAAAAAAATTGACTTCAAAGGCGCAAGGCCCCCGAAAACGCCTCTGCTCCCAGTCTTACAGACAACGGGATCTTCGAAGTTCCAACATTCGTTTGAACACAATATTTGTTAATTTAACCTTATGCAATTCGTAAGGGAAATAGCAAATAAGTAGTCATTTGCCAAGATCAATACCTCATTCCATGCAATTTTGGCTTAGTGCTTAGTCTGAAATCACTTCCTTCCTAATACTCTTTTTTTGTGAAAAGTTGACATGAGAAGGTGAGCTGACGGTTCACCTGATGTTAACCAATAACCACCGCCCCTTGACATTAACACCCGTCGTTTTGTAGATGACCTTTTAATAAAGTAGGCTCCGGCTACCTCACTCATCGGACCAAACGCAGCAGTAAAACACTTCCACTTCATGCCGGTCTACCACGGGGTCCAGCTGCTAACCCAGAAGGAACTGCTGCGAAGACTGTTGCGTGGCCCTACAACGGTCACTCCCTTTGTTTACGATTTACAAACATTTTTAAGGATTCGAAACCCTGTTTCGTTGATTTCTGCTCATTCGATCCAGATTTAACCAGATTTGTTTTAAAAGCTAAAAAGATCATAGACTGTTTTTTTTTTAGTTTCAGTTATTGTCTCATTTTCTATACAGCGGACTACAGCGGAGGAGTAGAACAGTTTGATTGAGACATAAATATAAAATAGCTTTCAGTGATCTGGTGTTTACCACATACGAAATACTATTTACCGTGGGCGGATTTTCGAAGAACCTTTTACTGTCAGTCTTGCTGTTTTATTGACATTATTAGTTTTTGTCTACGTACTATGAGTGGGGCGAGCAACATCTCACTAGTGCATAAACTTGGTAAAATCTTAACCGATAGAAGATAAAAAGTCTTAGACTATTAGATGCATTAGTTTGAACTGATTGATTTGGACATTTAGACTTATAAAACAACTATTGAAGATATCACACGCGACTCTTCTTGTTGTCTAATCAAGACTGGCGTTTTTAGTACCGCTGCCAGCTTTCTGGCGTTTGCCAAAATCCGTCTCGTCCATTCGCGATGGATGAAAATAAAACAATCGAGTTAATTACACTTATATCGCATCAAACGGTTTATAAGCGCCTACCTGATCTCTCAGCGGGACGTAAATTCCTTATTAACTTCAAAAACAAAACGACAATACTTACACGCTGACATGTCTCGACCGCCACTTACTTACGAGGCTGACACCAATTCGAATAGAACTCTATCGGGTGAAGATAAGGTTCAATTCATAACGGTGGACGAGTGCAGTGCCTTAATCCGGTGGCCATATATATCTCCGACGCCAATTCTCTGGCTTAATTTAATTTGTATAAGAGTCCGTATTTTGATTAATAAAGAACGTAACCGGAGCGAAATGCTTCGCTTTTTTTTGCGCCCAATCTTCTCTCTATAGAAGCGAACGTGTCTCGAGAGGCTCACTTCAATGCGAGATTAATTGTGATTTGTGTGTTTTGATCGTACGATATTCGCGACCGGTTTTTCTCCGTTTTAAAATTGACTTGATTCGGTCGTTATTTGTTTAGTACTTAGCCGTGATGTAGCACTATTTTAAGGAGGTAATCAGTATGGAAAAGGAGAATCATCTTCAAGAGATGTCGGCCCATGGATGACAAGACTAAATGAGATTTCAACCCAATAAAACTCTTTCATAATACCAATAAATGCGTTCAGGGCATTCCGGGATCTTCTCCAGAACGCACCAAAATTCTCCATGGTGTCTTAGAATAACTAGAGAAAGCGGCGACTACACTTCGTGGCCACGGATGTCAATGTCTCCAACCTAAAGACGCAATTTCGCGAGTTGGTTAAACCTCAGTATTCCGTTTTCCGGTCTCTTCACGTACATTACTGATTCGTTATGTGGTGTACTCACTCTTTTTGTTTGTTACACTGCGATCTGTCAAGTTTTAGATGAATTAAAACTAAAGACAGATAAGTATTTATTTTACAGACAGTATTTATGCACCTTTATTGGTTTAAAATATGAGACTGTACCGTACAGTATAGGCCGTAGACCATGCCTTCGTCTTTGTTTTATGATTGAGCTTTCACTGGGCTGTTTGATAAACAAAACGGTTCTATGTCAAAGTGGTTGACATACGGTCACAATAGAAACGTTCCTAAGAACAAATTTAGGTCAAACACAGGAGATTAAAACATGTATTGAATATATAATATATCAAATACCAAAACCGTATGACTAATTGAGCCACGCAATAAACCCGTCGCAGTACAACTAATCCCATCAGCCCTATAAAAAATATTCACACGGCTGATCCACTGACGGCGTAAAGGCGACATTTTGACATTTAAGCGGCGGCCATTTTGAAATAAGAATGTTAATTGAACGAGATACTATCTCGTAATGAGTCATTGTGTCGCTAGAGGGAGGTATCGGACCGCGCACTTCTGTTCCTCATCTAAACGGAGCCCTGATGTGGGACGTGACCAAATAAAGTCACGAAGTCAATCGAAGGGGGCATAGAAGAGTATAATTGTTTTCATGCAAGCACAATGTCAGTTTATCTTCATTCTCTTCGACAGGTTTTCGTTGCAACCGAATTGAAATCTATAGCCATTATCACTTGTTTTGCTTTTCTTGTCTTTCATTTAAGAAACTGTTTATAAATAATGTACAATGATTATATTTCTATTATATTATAGTAAGAAATTAGAGAATATTAGCGATAGTGTACATAGTAGTATATGAGTGTGGGGCAAATTTAGACTTTTAGTGTAAATACATAAAAAAATCAAACTATTTTGTGAATAATGATTAATCTTACTGCAAGTTCATTTAGCTGCTAATATGATAGTAAGATAATTAACATCTTAGCATATTTACAGCTACATTATACTGAAAAAATTGATAATGATTTTTAAGATACAAAATTAGTCCATTTACATATAAAAATATAAATATAAAATACCACAAAATCAGATAATACCACAATGCCATGACTCCACAGATGGATATACGAGTTTGTCATAGATTAAAAGTTATAAATAGCGACAATTAAACCGAACACCAGATATCGATGGAGCCTACTTAGAAAATCTACAGTTAAAAGTTCATATTTAAGGGGAAAAAGATTTTTCAATACACAGATAACTCGTTCGTTTTACTTGTGTATTATTGGAAAGCTTTTAGCGCTAATTTTACTTGTGAGTACCATTAACGATTATTCATTTGCCGACCTTTGAATCTTACCCTTGAATCACTCTACCTAGTAAAAAACCCGCATCAAGATCCGTTGCGTAGTTTTAAAGATCTAAGCATACATAGGGACAGACAGACAGCGGGACGACTCTGTTTTATACTATGTAGTGATAAGCGTCGTAATGAAGATCGTGTGTTATAATTAATTAGTAGGTATTGTGTTATTATACTTTGTGTATCTCTAGTTTGTTATTTATAATTTTAATTTTTGGTATGTACTGAAAATCGGGAAATATTACCGAGTACATACCTATTTGTTTTCATGTCTTAGATATATATTCTTCTAATTGTTTACATAACTGAAATTCCTTGAATAAAATTCATTCATTCATTCACTGTGGCCTTTGCACGGAGCCTGGTCGTAAGTGTTTACAAAAACGTCGTACCGACCGCGAGGCGGCAACGTATGCACGTACCGCGGTTTTATTGCTGCTACTGTGGCGCAACGGTAAACGCGGGGCCCGGCTCACGGACAGACGATCGCTGCCGGTATGATATATGGGGAGCAATTAACCCGGGCGCGGTGTGTACGCGGCCTAATGATGGGCTACCGGCGATACTTGACGCCTTAAGAACGTTCAGACACGGCGTGGGACATGACGAATTCAATTTATCAGCCTGAGGTTCATTTTTACATGAGAAGGTGGCAGTCGAGTGAGCTGAACCGCTAGCCATAGAAATCTGCAACACCCATAGCGTTTGCTGTCTTTTAATAAATAAGTCCCGGCTATCACCGGACCCGCAGAAGTATAAAATTATTTCGTATTCCTATAATAGAAACAAAACATACTAATGAAACTGATACTGTACCGTATAAAACAAAATAACAATTTCTAAATAGTACTATCTAAGCCAAATATAAATAAATAAGATATACCGGATCAATAAGAGTAGTAACTATAAGTGATTTTTTGTTATATATTTTTACAATCATATTTATATTATTTTAAAGTGTTTCCTTTAGTAGTTTAGTGTTAGAAACAGTCTCTATATTTTTAATTTAAAATAATAGTAATATTTGAGTTTAAAAAATTTTTATTTACATATATAATGAACATTTGAGTGATAGTACCAACCGGCAAGATAGAATCCTCTAACATTCACTTGTTAACATAAACATTCACTAGTGATTATCTGACAGCATGGATTCACTAAAACAGTCATTTTCTGCAATGTCTGAGATGTTCTATGCAAAAATGGACGAATTTCAGCGTGATTTGGAAAAGAACTCTGCTAGCAAGACATCTGCAACAACTTCATCGATAGCATCTGATTTTGTGTCCTTCAAAACTTTTATTGTAACCGCATTAAACACCCTGCAGCAACAAATGGAGTTTCTTAGACTGGAAATGGATCGTCAGGAGATGCGAAGGAGGCGTAAGATCTTGCTCTTCCATGGAATTCCCGAGGTGAAATCAGAAGACCTTATCGGTCGTGTAACCACAGCTGTTGCTGAACATCTGAATCTGCCTAATTTTTCAAGTACCAGCATCAAGTCCAGCTATCGCCTTGGCCGCACATCGGAAAGCAGAGCTAGGCCGGTAGTTGTAAAGTTCGCCGAAGTTTCTGTCCGTGACAAAGTGTGGTTCGCGAAAACTAAGTTTAAGGGTACTGGCATCACACAGTCGGAGTTCCTAACGCAGCCTCGACACAGTGTATTTCTTGAGGCTCGGAAGCGTTTTGGCGTGACAAATTGCTGGACTCGCGATGGATGCATATACGTAATTAGCTCGGATGGAGTTCGCCATCGAGTAGAATCTTTAAACGAGCTTGATGTTATAAATGTTGCATCGTCTTCGTCTAAGCCTCTTGCAGCGAATTCACCAGTACAGATATTAGAATCTTGTTCTAAGAGCCAAAATACTAAGACTATTGTTATGCGCCCCAAGCGAGTAATTAAGAAGTAGTTTATTGCGGTAATGTGAATTTGTCCTTTACTTAAAACATTCTTCTCATTATGTTCATTGCACTGTTTAACTTCTTTTTGTTATATTTTATTGTAATGTATTGTTTTAGTTTTAAGGTTAAGTACTTTTAATTTTAAAGCAATGTCAATTGTCAACTTGATATGACATTTTATATTATTATATTCTAACGGATTGGGACTTCTCCATACAGCCTATTATTACATTGGATTGGGATTTCTTCATTCATCCTATTCATTATCATAGGTTCGTTGTAAAATATTATCTTTCACTATACATATGTATGTTATAGTGAAGTTTATTAGGATTTTTTTTCTATATATTTTTTCTAATCGTGTTATGATGACCTTGAATTTTATTTTTCTTTGCTGGCAATGTGTATACTTCGATTGAATGTGTAAAAACTAAAAACTTGTTGGTAGGTATAAAAGCTTACAAATTTGCGTAGTAGTTTATATAGGTAATTTAATTGTTATAGTATATTATTTGTTTATGTTTATATATACATGTTATTTAAAGATATAAGCTCGTACGACTCCTTTTTCTCATTTTCCTCCACTGATGGATTGAGTAGTAACGGCAGTTTCCATAGTCTCCCATCTCTTTCTGAAACCTTTAATGTTGAAAAATTTTAATGTTGTTCATATTAATGCTCAGAGTATTCCTGCACATTTTCCAGATATGCTTTCGTCTTTTGATAACAAGAACATCCATGCTATCCTAATCTCCGAAACATGGTTAAAACCTTGTTTATCCTCCACATCTTATGCTTTTCCTGGCTTTCACCTCATACGAAATGATCGGAACAGTAGGGTTGGCGGAGGTGTTGGCATATATCTTCGATCCCACATACCTTTTAACTTGATCAGTGTATCGCAAGAACAGGCTATACCAGGGGCGGAGCATTTATTTATCGAGGTTATGTTATCCAACCTGAAATTACTGCTCGGTGTGTATTATAACCCTAGTCTCACAATAGATTATTTTACAGGACTCGAAAATCTGTTAGACATGTTTATCCCACAATATGAGCACTCGATTATTATGGGTGATTTTAATACTTGCCTGTTAAAAAATGACTCACATGCATTCCGTCTCAATTCTTTAGTCAAGGTAGCAAATCTACATATTCTTCCTCTATCGGCAACGCACAACTTTCCAAATTGTTCTCCATCTCTCCTTGATCTTATTCTAGTTTCCTCAGTAGACTTTGTATTGAAACATGGTCAATGTCCTGCAGATGCCTTTTCTTACCATGATTTGCTATATTTATCCTATAAAATACGCCCACCCAAAGCTAAATCTAGAATTCTTCTCCAACGTAATTTTGGTGGTATGAACCTTGATCTTCTGCGAGAGGATGCATCTCAGATTGACTGGGCTGAAGTCCTTACTGGGGACAATACTGATGAACGGGTTGAAATTTTTAACTCTCTTTTAATGAAGCTTTATGATACCCACGCTCCAATACGCCCAGTAAGAATTAAACATCTTCCTGCTCCTTGGCTAACTGAGGATATAAAAACGCTACAACACAAAAAAGAATATAGCCAAAGCTAAATATAAAACCAACGCCAGTGAAACCAACCGCATTAAATACACAAGCATTGGGAATCGATGCAACAGATTGTGTAGAGATGAACAACGACGCCATATCCATAAATCTGTACTCGAGGAAAAAGATTCCGGAAGAGTATGGAAATTTCTGAAATCCCTTGGGGTTGGGAAAGCAAATAGAAATTGTCCTTCAAATTATAGTACCTTCGATTTAAATAAGCTCAATCAGCATTTTTCCTCATTTTGTACTATTGATAGTACCTTAAAACAGAATACTAAAAATAAAATTTTAGCTTTACCCACCCCTGATGATCCCGCTTTCGTATTTAGTCAAATCGACTGCAGTGATGTTAAGAGAAGTATTATGGAAGCTAACTCTGATGCTGTTGGTTCTGACTGCATTAGTCGTAAAATGATCACTCCCCTTCTCGATTTTCTAGCTCCTGTCATTGTGTCCATCTTTAATCATTCCATCAATAGCGGTTGCTTCCCTACTTCCTGGAAGGATGCACAGATAATTCCTCTTCCTAAAAAAACGAATCCTTCCAGTTTCTCTGATTATCGGCCTATTTCTATTTTACCATTTCTATCAAAAGTTTTTGAACGCATTGTTCATAAACAATTGACTGTATTTCTTTCCAAATCCAACCTTTTAAATCCGTTTCAATCCGGTTTCCGTTCTGGTCATAGTACGACTACTGCATTAGTAAAAATTACTGATGATATCCGGTTCGGTATGGATAACCAGTGTGTAACAGTATTGACTTTATTAGATTTCAGCAACGCTTTCAATAATGTTGATTATGAGCTACTTTTAGCCATTCTCACTTCTCTAAACATATCTCCTAAGGTCGTTGACTGGTTTCACAGTTACTTGCACGGGCGCTGGCAACGGATTAAGATCGAGGAGAAGTACTCGGACTGGAGTCCGATAAATGCAGGGGTACCGCAAGGTGGCGTGTTGTCTCCTCTCCTATTCTCAATCTTCATTAGTTCAATCACTCAACATTTAACTTCTCTCTACCATCTGTATGCTGATGATCTCCAAGTCTACGCTCAATCCAAATTACCAGATTTAACCATGACAATAGATGCAGTTAATAAAGACCTAAACACCATTGTAGAATGGAGCAATTCTTATGGACTGAAGGTAAATCCATCTAAAACACAAGCTATTATTATAGGCAGCCAAAGATTGGTTTCACGTATTGACTGGGCTAATCTTCCTTGTATAGTTTTTGACGGGGTCCAATTGCAATATAGCGATACGGTTAAAAATCTAGGTGATGTGTTTGATAAATTTCTCTCTTGGGTTCCTCAGGTTAGTGAAGTGAGTAGAAGGATGTTTGCAGCAGTTAATTCTCTTCGTAGATTGAGTTACTTCTTACCTATACCTACCAAAATTGCGCTCGCGGAATCTCTCCTCTTACCAATTCTAGATTATGCCGATACATGTTACTTAGACTTAAGCGTTGAACAACTTAATAAACTTGAGCGCATCCAAAATCTTTGCATACGGTTCATATTTGGACTTCGTAAATATGACCACATTTCTGAATTCCGAAATAAGCTCAAGTGGCTTCCAATCCGCCTTCGCAGGAATACTCACCTTCTTTCGCTCTTATATTCTGTTCTATTCAATCCAACCACCCCTCCTTATCTTAAGAAGCGATTTGAGTATCTTTGTGATTCTCACCCAGATCGATCTCTCCGCTCCGATGACAATTTAATCCTCAGAATTCCTCCCCATAGTACATCTTTCTACTCCAAATCCTTTTCTGTGGAAGCTGTTCGGCTCTGGAACTCTCTCCCACTACATATTAGGCGGGCACAATCCCTACCTATTTTCAAGCGACTTTTAAGAAAACATTTTATGCCACCTTAATCATTGTGTTCCATTCCTCGATGTTGTCGACTTATATCTAAATACTTATACATTATTTATAACGTATATATTTATATATCGTGTTTGCATGTGTATTTATGTATAATTTATTAATATGTATTTATATTTTGACTTATAAGTTTCTCTTATTAATTCAGTGTACACCGTTACCCAATGCTACTGTTTTTACTATTTCCTTTTACTAGGTTGCCTGGAAGAAATCGCTTCCTAGCGATAAGGCCGCCTATTGTACAGTTTTGTATTATTTTAGTTGATTCTTCAATATCCGTTGGTTGTGTACAATAAAGTATATTTCATTCATTCATTCATAATATGGTACAATAGTTTAAAAAAATTGTAAATTGTTGTTACTTCAAATGACTAAATACTTTTGTGAATATATATAATATTGTATGCGGTTAAGTTAAAATAAATAAATGAAACTACAAACCCACATTTTATTTTTTTATTTTATTTTTTATTTATACAACAATTTTAGATTATGATGTACACTTTTTATCGTTGTAGCATCTCTAAATTGTGCTCTCAATATGCCGGCACCTGATTTGCAGTAATCGCGGGGTGTTCTTTTCTGCCCTGGGTTGAAACTTATCGCATAGCTAGCGACAGACTCTACTAAACATATCTTGTTATATCTTGCATATCTTGTTACTATCTATAACTTTATAACCGAGTAAAAATCTATTAAATTCCTGAAGTGTCTAGTAAGCTTCACATTGCTAAATTACGTTTACTGAGCCGAATATCATTCTAGTGACAAATCTATACTAATAAATGGAGAGCCGGTTTTTTTTCGGTTAAACTGCGAAGACTGAACCGATTGAAGAAATACTTGAGATGATTGATTTATCGTGTTCGGAAAAGGTTTTAATGTATAAATTATATCTGTATCAAGCAAATTAGCCGAGCTATCACAATTTAAGCGGACGACGTCGCGGGCGAAGTGCTTGTATCATAAAGGAGTCTAAAAGCCCAACGTCATATCATAAATCCTAAAAAATGTTATAAATAGTCTTAATATTGGTAAATAAAAGTAACTTCCAGATTTTCTGAGCATGTCTTCTAGTGGGCGTATAGTCTAAAAAATAAAACTCTTAAAAGTGTTCAAAACGTCATAGTTTTATTTCACAATGTTTATATATGTACTCGTGTAAACACAAGAAATCATCATCATAACAGTGTTGAAACTGATCACCTCATTGACAAGTTTCAATCAAGTTGCCAGTCAAATTAAATTTAAGTAATCTTTAAATTTTCACTTATACAACTAACTTAAGAGCAAATCAGCGTTCCTGGTAACGCGTTGGTTTTATGATTTTACACAAAAGTCCACCGCGCCACCTCTATCGTAAATCTCTTCTTAACTCGCCGTCTCTAAGACACATTTACAACATCGTAAACGGTTTTTAATTAAGGACACGAATTACACGATCATCGCGACCGGCCGCGGTAATTTATGACCTCTGAATATTCCAATTAGCACACTGAGCTGTGAAGAAACATTACGGAACTATCG